TTTAAGCTATGAGAATAGGCAATAACAAAACAGTAGCAGGCAATATACAGCACACAAATAAATGTAGGTCTACTGTCCATTATCCAACAGCTTTAAGGCCAGATATGCTGAAACTTCAGAACTTTTTGGATTTTAGAAAGGTAACATGGTGCTATCCCTATAGGTCTATAATCAAACATATTACAGTTTACGAAGTAAAATGTATCAACATTCATATCAAATGGAATAAATATAAATTAAAAACAGCCTCATATTGAATCAGAACAGTTTTTAGCACCAGATGAGTTCAAGACATTCCAAGTGTGGCTAACAAATGAAGTATGATAAATTTAAGGCTTTCAGAAATGTTTAGATTTAAAAATGTGTATATGGTCCATATATGTGGCCTATAGGTAATATGTCAGGAGGGGTAAGTGCTATAGAGAAAATTAGAGTATGGCAGATAAAGAGTATGTGAGTGTATGTGCATGTGTGTATGGATATGTGGTCAGGGACATCTTTTGTGGGAAGATATTTAAGCAGAGATCCAAGGGAACGAATTTTGAAGATATCTGGGTGCAGAGTATTCTCAGCAGAGAAAAGAACAGAGGCAAAGACTGAGGCAGAAATATCTTTGGTATAAGTAAAGGGACAATCAAAAGTAAGTGGTAGAGAATGAAGTCAGATTGGTGAGGGGGTAAAGTAGAGATTCATTAGTGTCTTGAAGACCACTGTATGGACTTACACACACACACACACACACACACGCACACACACACGCACACACAATGGAATATTACTCAAAAACAAGAATGAAATCTTGCCATGTGCAACAGCATGGAGCTGCAAAGTATTATGCTAAGGGAAATAAGTCAGTCAATGAAAGACAAATACCATATGATTTTACTCATATGTGGAATGTAAGAAATAAAACAAAGGAGCATGGAGGGTGAGGGAGGGGCAAACCAAGAAACAGACTCTTAAGTATAGAGAACAAAGTGATGGTTACCAGAGGGGAGGTGGGTGGAGGGGAGGTAATGAAGCTTAAGGAGGGCACTTGATGATGAGCAACAAGTGTTGTATGTAAGTGTGAAATCACTAAATTGTATGCGTGAAACTAATATTATACAGTATGTTAACTAACTGGAATTTAAATAGAAACTTTAAAAAAAAAAAGTATTACTTTAAAAGAAATATGGGATGCCTGGGTGGCTCAGTCAGTTGGGCATCCAACTCCTGATGTCGGCTCAGGTCATGATCTCATGGTTTGTGGGATCCAGTCCTGCACTGGGGTCTGTGCTGACAGTGTGGAGCCTGCTTGGGATTCTCTGTCTCCTTCTCTCTCTGACCCTCCCCCACTTGTGCTCTCTCTTTCTCTGTCTCAAAATAAACAAACATTAAATAAAAGAAATTTGTTAAGAATAGGCTGGAGGGGACCAAGATGATGCAGGGAGATGAGTTGGAAGGCTACAGCAAAAACCTAAGTGAGAAATGATGGTGGCTTACATCAAGTTGTTAACAGTGACTGTGAAGAGAAACAAGATTCTGCATGTATACTGAAGGTAGTACAGGTAGGATTTGTTACTGGATTAGTTGTAAGATATTAGAACAACAACAAAAAAGATCACATAAAAGTTTTTGGTCTAATAAATTAAAAGAAAAGAGATTTCATTTGTTGAGATAAAGAGAAAGAAGAAATTTGTGGGTGGGCAGCAGCGGAGAAACAGACTTGGGTTCTCTCATTTGAAGTTTGAGATACCAGTTAGTCGTCTTCTAGAACAGTTTACTACAATACCCATTAACCACTAGCCACATTTAAATTTTAATTAGAAATTCATTTCCTCAGTTATACTAGCCACATTTCAAGTATTCAGTAGCTGCATGTGGCTCATGGTTACTATACTGCATAGCACAGATACAGACCATTATTATCCTTGCAGAAAGTTCTATGGGACACCACTGTTTTAGAAACTATGTTTTATTGAATACTTACTTTAGGCAAAGCAATGGTGTAAGAAGAATAAACAAGCAGGATCCCTACTGTAGGGGGACTTCCAGAGAAAAGAAGCGTTGAATAGTTAAATTAGAATTCAGTATAAAATGTGCTTGTTTGAAAACTGATCTCGTGGGGCAAACTATATGAAACAAGGCTTCTTACGAACAGTTCACTCCACCTTGGACCCCAGCCCCATCAATTTGTTTATATTAAATGCTAACTCTGGCCCCAGTTGAAGGAGATATAGGAATAAGATCATTAGAAGTGGGAACAGAGAAAAATTCTAAATCTTTAGTACCTCAAATGGTACCAGGCAACAAAGGAGTGTGAATCAGAAAACTTTTCCCTCAGTCTCCTTGATTTCTTCCTCTTTTCCTCTCTAATCTTTTGTTAGCCATACTTAAGTTCTAAGCTACTTGAGGGCAGAAATACATTCTTTTCATATTTGGGGAATATTGTAAAAGCAAATGCATTTTCTGGACTATAACTTGAAACAGGCTTTCTGTTTCACATACAGATTTGAGAAGCAGTTTGAATTGTGAAATAATGGCATTTCTGGGATAGTTTATGAGAAAAACAAGATAAAATATCTGAAATTGGGACTGTTTCAGAAAGCCCAAGATGTATACAGTGACCAAACACACAGCACGCTGCAGGACAGTTTATCCATCTCATGCCAATTAAATGTTTCAGAGTTATGTTTTTATTTTGTTATTCTGTCTCATTATTCCACCACCTAGATATAACCTGTCAAGGTAGTCACAGATCAGAGTAGAAAGGATTTCTTTCTATACTATTAGATGCATTCAACATCTTTTACCAATTTATGTTCTATTTTTAGCTATTTTCTAATTTGACTCAATTGATTAGCAGCACCAAGTCAAAAAATGTTTGCTGCCCTATATATTTGCAAATTACCAAGTTGTGTAAATATTTTTGTGTCCTGATGGTTTCCTGAAAGTAATTTTAGCTATCCAGAGAATTTCAATAATCCCTAATCAAGAATATATCTATGGTGTTTCCATCCCATGAGGCAAATATGTGGGTTTGAACCCATGAAGGTATTCTACAAGTTGCTTCAGTATACATTTTTTAGAAGCATCTGCAGTTTTCTCATTCAGTACATACTCCGCTAACAGGATACCTAAACTTTTACTGTGTTAAACCATAGAATTTCTGGGACTGTATGTCACAGAATTAATTTTCCCCAATTGATAAACCCCTTATTGTTTCTTATAGTGGAAATAAGGTCAAAATAATACTATAAAACTTTCACTTAGTGTTTAAACTTTGAATGCCAATAACCCACATTACAAGACGGATAAATATTTAAGTACGTATCAAAAGCGTACTGCATCTGAAGCTGAGAAAATCTTATGGCACAAGAGAAACAAGGATCAACAGTCCTCGGCTGGTTGCCAGTTGAGTCATCTCTCAGATGAATTCTGAATTTAATGAAGTATTTATGATACAGGAAAAGAGTTGTTTGGCCAAGTCTGGAGAAATATAAAACCTCTATATTCAAGTCATCAACTTTTCAAAACGGTCTGGACTGAGTTACCGAGAAAGCAAAAATGAGGGTAGATTTTAGTTAAAACTTCTTTCTGGCTTGTTCACAAACAGGTACATTACACTGTTTAGTTCAAATTGATAAACACACACCTGGTATATCTGGGCATTTTCCCTTTGAAATTCTGTGTAGAAAATGTGACTATCATATGATATGGACAGATGCAGCTTACTGCACTCCTTAGCCACCCTGTAAAATATACTCATTTTCTTTTAAAACACTGCCCATGGCTTCTTTTTTTTTTTTTTTTAATATTTATTTATTTTTGAGAGACAGAGAGACACAGAGTGCAAGTGGGGGGAGGGACAGAGAGAGATGGAGACACAGAATCTGAAGCAGGCTCCAGGCTGTCAGCGCAGAGCCCGACACGGGGCTCAAACTACTCACGAACTGTGAGATCATGATCAGAGCCGAAGTTGGATGCTTAACTGACTGAGCCACCCAGGTGCCCCTTATTTTTATTTTTTAAAAATGTTTATTATTGAGAGAGAGAATGAGAACACATGTGAGTGGGGGAGGGGCAGA